AAAACTGTGCTTTATGCTGGATAGTATTTATTTATCGCGAGTTATTCAAATCGCGGTAATCTAATATGGTTTTAATGAAAATTTAAGGATGAAACGGTAATACTAACCGTGGGGAATTTAATCATGATTTATCGTCAAACCGGTAATCGTTACATTCCTACTTCAGATACATTAAAATAAAGACATCCGCGCCACATTTTGACTTGAAACGTGCAGCGTTCATATTTATTCAATGACATCATTGCCTTTTGAAGTTTAATCCAGCCGTATCTCGACTCTTGTCTTTCCGTCCCCAAATGTAAGAGCTCTTGAAATTATAATTAAGACATATCTTATACCATTTAACGTATTTAAAACTTTTTATGGCCTTAAGTTTGATACAACTCACTTTAGGAGTTTTTAAGGACCCGCGGGAGATCTGCATTTAAGATAGCCCGTCGGGCAGTGGTGATACATTTTGGTAGCCCGACTGGAAAACACAATAGCCCCGGGACGTCGGGCTAGCGATTTTGCAAGCCCTGTGAGGTGTTGAACGCTAGTCATAAAAACCAAAGAATATAACTAGAAAGAAAAATCAGTTGAGAACCAGTGGAGGCCAAGTGTATGTTTTAGAAATAAGTGTCTGAATTGAACAGCTGGAAGGAAGGAACAGAGAGGTAGCTGAGTGGAGACCACCTACATGCTTCTCCAGACAGCAAACACATTACATTAATATGGATTCTCCATTTGCTTTTCTCTTCTACATCTATAACGAGGTTAACCACATGAGAAACACACACTCACACAATCACACTTACATATACACTCAAACTCAAACACACACAAGCCACTAGATAAGATGATTCAACCTCCCACTCTTTTCTCTATATGGAATGTTTATTTCAGTTTGCTGATAACAGTGGGAATTAACTCCCTATAAATGAGAAAGTGTCTCTCCTCCCAGCAGCTCGGCGGTGTTGTTCTGCTGAGAGCAAACAGGCTATAAAAACAGCACTGCCTCTATTCCCATTGAACTCCATAGAGTTCTCCTCTGAGCTGAGCTTGTTGCATTATTTGCTAAAAAACCCAATTTGTTAAATCCTAAGCACTGCATCATAAAAGGCTCTTATGACGGAATATGTAGATGAAATTTTCAAGGCAGTTGAAACATAGGAGAATTTGCTTGCATTATCTTTTTCCTACTCTTTCTTTCTCTCTTTTCCACTCTGTCCTTCTGCGCGCGCACACACACACACACACACACACACACACACACAACGCTATGTTAAAAAACAGTCATTGATTTTTCCTCCCCTGGTTATACATTGAATTATCTGTGTTGTCAGTGAACTGTCATCCAAAATGGCATTCATCCTCCACGCTGTGATGGCCGGACCTCTCCTCCGGTGTAGTATTTATGCTTGTTCAGGGCTGACCGAAGCATTGTAGATTACAGCTCATCATGGTCTGACTGGAGTCAGGCACCATAAAATTAAAACTCAAATCAATGGTGTATCATATCCTCTCCCATCAAGCTGAGCAGAGACTTGTTGCCCTGAAGCCCTGAAGAGTGTTTTTCTTTTCTTCATGGAAATATAAGTCTGTGAAACATTATATACCAAATGAAGATTGAAGGAAAATTAATCAGATGTTTGCTGCTAAATCAGCATTTTTGTGTGCTTATGTTAATATTAAAATTGTGTGTATCAAAAAAGTTGAAAGCATGCTTGAATAAAGTAATGATTGAGAGTTAGAAAGTTACCCAGCAATGTATTTGAATAGGCAAACTGCAGTGGATCTGTCAGCACCATGGAAAGCAGCTTCATTCTTCCATCTATGGAGCTGTCTTAGGTGCTGAAAAGTCAGGTTCTGAAAGAAAGGCAGTTTGATCTGCTATTTAGATTCAAAGGGTTTGTGTGTTCTTTGGTTTGTTTGTACATGACTCACTTTTAATCCTTAAGGAAAGTACACCTGTACTTGTGAGCATAGTTTTGGGAGGTTGGGAGTTAATGCGGGCATGTTCCCCCTTGAAATTATTTCCCCACCTCAAACCATGAGTTTGAAAGTCTTGTTTGTTTGTTTGTTTATTTATTTATTTATTTAGAGGCTGTTATATTTTCACAAAACAGTCAACTTTTTAAGTAATTGTGAAAGTAGATTACAAATTACTTGCAAAATGTTTTTTTTTCTTCGCTGTACGAAAGTGCTTTTTTTTTTCCACAGCTCAGTCTGTTGGTTTCATTATCTGTGACATGAGATGTAGCCAGGTTCCAAAATTAACCAATGCCAATTGCAAGTAAATTAAGAACATTTAATGACCGGAGCTATTTATTTCTGGCACTGTATTTTGCATAATTGTAGTACAAAAAAAGTGTTCCTATGAAAACGCAATTATTTCGCTGTTTTTTTTTCTTTGCATATTTGTGGCAACAAACATTGTAAAAGAACATTGCAACACTTCATGTCTATGTTGGCTTGTTGATCATACACATATGGACAGTCATCTCTTACAAGTATAGTAATACAAGCACATAAAAACATCTATGATTTTCCAAGTTTTAGCATTTCTTCTTGTTTTCCTACTAATTGTAGCTTGTATTACAATCACATGAAAACTATGAGAAATCTCATCTCATCCAATTAAACTCTCACAATTAAGACCAGATCACTGGATCACTGTTACTGCATGTCGTTGGACAATATTTGATGCTAAAAGTAGCATAAATGGTTAATGTGCTGGAATGGATGAATGATGAATTAGCATGCACATCTGTCTGGAACAGGTGCAGCCACCAATCTCCCATTCTCTCCTTTCTCTTTCTCCTCCAGTGACTGGCTTAGCTACTGATCCTTTCTCTCTTTCTCTGTGTGGTTGGCTGTTGTATAAAAAATACATGTTAAAGCTGTAAAACAGATGTTATTTGTGGTGTAAAGTGTGTTTGACTTGATTCTTCTCAGTTGCTGAGAGCTGCGGTGTGGAGCCCTATCACTTCTGCTGGAAGTTCATGTCTGTCATTCACGTTAAGATATGAAGGGGAATGTGAAATGGCAATACATCTTGTTTTTAGCTGCCCTGGAGGTTTTGAACTATAAAACTGATTAAATTAATCTAGATGCCTCATTTAAAGTGGATGTGCAGCACAGTTCTATGGTATACTGGTACTAAAATAATACCATAGTACCAAAAAAAAAGACAATGTTACGATATCTTAAGGACATTTTTTTAATCATCAGCATTTTTTTTTCCATAGACAGAACTTAACATTATTAATTATGAGATGACTCTTAAATCATTCTTATTAATTATTGAATTAATTGATAGCCCTAGTTTAATTTCATTAGTTGCTCAGGACTGTTTATTAATGCAAAGGGAACAGGGGCTGGTATCAAGTTCAAGTTCAAGTTCAAGTTTATTTCTAAAGCACATTTAAAAACAGCTCAAAGCCGACCAAAGTGCTGTACACTGTCAATAGCACAAATACAATAAGTAAAATATAAATAGCATAATGTCAAAATACACATAACATGACTATTACGAAATCAATTAATAAACGCCAAGGTAAAAAGATGAGTTTTTAGACAAGATTTAAACTCCGGTAGAGTGGAGGCCATTCTAACATGAGATGGTAAGTTGTTCCAGAGAGTAGGACCAGCCACTTCAAACGCTCTATTTCCTCTCGTCTTTAGATGAGTGCGAGGGATCTGGAGGAGAAGTTTTTCCTCGGATCGTAATCGTCTTGTGGGGATGTAGGGATGAAGTAGGTTTGTAAGATAAGGCGGAGCTAGGTTGTTCAATGATTTGTAGACAAGTAGAAGAATTTTAAACTCAAATCTGTGCTGAACAGGCAGCCAATGCAGGGATCTCAGAATGGGTGTAACATGATCAAATTTTTTACACCCCTTCAGAAATCTAGCTGCTGCATTTTGTACTACCTGTAAACGAGAAATTAGAGTTTTTGAAATGCCAAAGTACAGCGAGTTACAGTAATCCAGCCGTGATTTTTTTTACTTTGGAACTTTTCTTCTAATGTTTATTACTGAGACCCAACCAAAGAGCACCATCTGGGATTATTATGAGGTCCTTCCAACAAGTAGCATGTTTTATATTAAAAAAATGTTTATCTTTAAATGTAAAAACATCAAGCCATTTTGTGTGTTCTGTATGTATATTTCTCAGGTGCACGATTGCTAATGGATTTAAACCAACAACCCTTCAGTTACCAGCCTAGATCTTTAACTACTGTACCACACCACGATATTAACTTTATTAGTAATTAGCTTTAGCTTTCCTTTCTTTGATATTCCAAAAAATCAGTCATTGAAGCTAAAGATGTTAAATGGAAATAAAGGCATCAAAATTCAGACAGTATTTGTGTTGCATTGTGGCGAAGTATTGTTGCAGATTATCAACATTTCTCTGTATTACTTTACATGGTGTGAGGAGATTCCGTGTGTTCCCATTAGTATTCTTGTTTAAGACTGAACTTTATTACTTGCCATTTGAAATTTGCTGGATAATATTTTACCAACAAAGCATTTTTCTGGTTTGTTATTATTTATTTGTTTGCGGCAGCCATGTTGAGGCTTGTTATTCTGCGATCTGCTACCAAAGCTGTCTAGTCGTCACCTGAGCGACTGCCAAGCGTCTCGGCTGACTTCCTCCATCCCACCCAGTAAGAGTGTGTGTATGTGTGTCAAAATCTATGGGGAAAGAAAAGGTTAGACCGCAACACAGTATTTTATTTACCTTTACATAAATGGAATACTGTGAACACACAAATATCAGTAGGATCTCAAATGAGTTATAGTCCATTTTATTAGTCTACAGGGAAATCTCTCCCAGTCACTGCTGTCTGTGTTGACATATATATGTCTGCATGGTTAAACTAAAGAATAACACATTTTGAAATATTGTGTTTCTGTATGCATATATTAAAGCATATCATAGAGCTACTGAATAGATTCAAGGCCTGAAATTAACTTTGGAAAACTTCTTTGTTATTCTCTCTGTCTCTCTGTAGGTAACCTGGGCCGTGTTGACTACATCAGTGAATTTGAGTTTGATCTGTTCATCAGGCCTGACACGTGTAACCCTCGCTTCAGAGTGTGGTTTAACTTCACAGTGGAAAACGTTCGAGAGACTCAGGTGAGCCAAGACCTTCACAGAGACTCCTTACAAAAAATAACTCATCTGAGATGTTCCTATCATTTTTCAGGCTTGGATAAAGATGTATCCATGTTTCAAAATGAAAACTTGCCGAGCACCACATGCAATCAAAAACGGGCTTTCGCACTGAAGGGGAAATAAATGAATTTAGGTGCTTAAAATCAAATTGATTTTGATGCCTGGGGTCTGAGGAGTTAAAAACTATGACCTCCGTTTTATCTGTTTAAGAAAAGAAAATTTCATCATACTAAAGCCTACATTTTTGTATCAGTCGATCCATAATGCACACACTCACTTTCAGAAGATGTTACAAAACACATCTGTTGATCCACACATAAAATGTTATTCAGTTTTTCTCAGTTACGTGTCATGTTTGAGTTACACATGGACCTTTCCATTTCATTCGGATATGTTTATAAAGGTCACTCATTGACCTTTGCAATAGTTGCCTAATAATCTATAAAAACGCCTTTCCATCGAGTGTGCTACTGCTGTCATACTTGGATTTCTGCTGCAGGAGATTTGTGTTTAAAAGAAAGTGACTTTAATCAGCTAAAGTGCCAATATGCATTTCATCTGGAGAGCACCATCAATCTGTACCCAATACACTGGAAGAAAGACGCAGTGACCATTAGAACCATTGGGCAGCCGTTCAGAAAATTAGCAGAAATGTATAAATTATTTTAAGAAGTTATATATTTAAAGGAAAAAATGTGACACATGTCTTTATCGGGAAGTTGAAACTTGAAAAGGATGAACTTCACACTTTCATCCTTAGAGAATCCATTGCCCCTGGTTTTGTGGACAGGCAGAGTGAGTTTGCGATGAGTTTGTTATGTGTTGTCTCTGTTCTGGCAGAAGGATAACATTCCGCTGGGCTCCGGTGTGACGGAATGGTGGTCACTCCATCTGTCAGTAATTAGCTCTGAGCTAGCTTCCACCAGGCGGTGACTTCCACACTTCTTTCCCTGAACCCAGGCTGCATGAGCAGTGCAACCAGATGCATCTCCCCCTCCCTCCCTCCTTCTTCTGTTCATCCAGCCTTATGAGCTGACTCTTTACTCTCATTTCTATAGAATGGGGCTGCTGGACTAGTACCTCACAGCATTACACTGTAGTAAGTTAGTTGTCAATTGGCAGATACTTTTATCTATGTATTATAGCAACAATCCCCCCTTCAACCATGAGTTTAAAATCCTCATGAAAGCTAAATTTGAGTGTTGTTTTTTTATTTAATGTCTGTTAGTTTTTTTTATGTTAGTGTACTTTTAAAAAATTGACTAAATGAAACATTAGATGAAATGATCCAAGGCACTTCTTCTAGTCCAAATGTGACCAGCCAAAACAGTAATAAAGGCTTTTAATTTTTTTTTTACTTTGGAACTTTTCTTCTAATGTTTATTACTGAGACCCAACCAAAGAGCACCATCTGGGATTATTATGAGGTCCTTCCAACAAGTAGCATGTTTTATATTAAAAAAATGTTTATCTTTAAATGTAAAAACATCAAGCCATTTTGTGTGTTCTGTATGTATATTTCTCAGGTGCACGATTGCTAATGGATTTAAACCAACAACCCTTCAGTTACCAGCCTAGATCTTTAACTACTGTACCACACCACGATATTAACTTTATTAGTAATTAGCTTTAGCTTTCCTTTCTTTGATATTCCAAAAAATCAGTCATTGAAGCTAAAGATGTTAAATGGAAATAAAGGCATCAAAATTCAGACAGTATTTGTGTTGCATTGTGGCGAAGTATTGTTGCAGATTATCAACATTTCTCTGTATTACTTTACATGGTGTGAGGAGATTCCGTGTGTTCCCATTAGTATTCTTGTTTAAGACTGAACTTTATTACTTGCCATTTGAAATTTGCTGGATAATATTTTACCAACAAAGCATTTTTCTGGTTTGTTATTATTTATTTGTTTGAGGCAGCCATGTTGAGGCTTGTTATTCTGCGATCTGCTACCAAAGCTGTCTAGTCGTCACCTGAGCGACTGCCAAGCGTCTCGGCTGACTTCCTCCATCCCACCCAGTAAGAGTGTGTGTATGTGTGTCAAAATCTATGGGGAAAGAAAAGGTTAGACCGCAACACAGTATTTTATTTACCTTTACATAAATGGAATACTGTGAACACACAAATATCAGTAGGATCTCAAATGAGTTATAGTCCATTTTATTAGTCTACAGGGAAATCTCTCCCAGTCACTGCTGTCTGTGTTGACATATATATGTCTGCATGGTTAAACTAAAGAATAACACATTTTGAAATATTGTGTTTCTGTATGCATATATTAAAGCATATCATAGAGCTACTGAATAGATTCAAGGCCTGAAATTAACTTTGGAAAACTTCTTTGTTATTCTCTCTGTCTCTCTGTAGGTAACCTGGGCCGTGTTGACTACATCAGTGAATTTGAGTTTGATCTGTTCATCAGGCCTGACACGTGTAACCCTCGCTTCAGAGTGTGGTTTAACTTCACAGTGGAAAACGTTCGAGAGACTCAGGTGAGCCAAGACCTTCACAGAGACTCCTTACAAAAAATAACTCATCTGAGATGTTCCTATCATTTTTCAGGCTTGGATAAAGATGTATCCATGTTTCAAAATGAAAACTTGCCGAGCACCACATGCAATCAAAAACGGGCTTTTAAATGAACTAGTGACTTTTTTTTTTACACTTTATTACACATTTATAATCAGTGAGGGCCTTTTTTATTTTCATTTTTATTTTTTACTGTTGTAGTCCCTTAATCTTGCCGATTGTTGTTTGTAAGAACATACACTAGTATTTAATAATGGTCTTTTTGAAAGGCATCTCTTATGCTCATCAAGGCTGCATTTATTTAAAATATACAGTAGAAACAGTAAAATTGTGAAATTTAAAACAACTTTTCTATTTTAATATATTTAAAAAAATATGAATTTATTATTATTATTATAGAAATGTATTCCTGTAATAACAAAGTTAAATTTTTAACAACCATTATTCCAGTCTTCAGTGTCACATGATCCTTCAGAAATCATTTTAATATGCTGATTTGGTGTTCCAGAAACATTTCTTATTATTATCAATGTTGAAAATGGTTGTTGAAAAAGTACAGCATTTATTTGAAATTAAATGAATTATTAATTTCTTAATTAAAAAAACAAACAAAAAAAAACAAGAACAAAAAAAAACATACTGATCAACTTTTCAATGGTAGTGTAGTTCTGTGAGAAAAATGATAAGCTAAACTTAGTTTTTAAAAAAAATACAATTTCATGGCTGTTACATGGCTGTTGTTGTTGTTGTTATTATTGTTATTATTATTATTATTATTATTATATTGGGACCTGCACATTTTGTCAGTTTATAACTGTGAAATATTATTCAGCATTTAGTCTTTTTCTGTACATTCTTTCTATTATGTTGGTGTAATGTTGCAACGTGAAACACGTTGTAATGCATGTGACTTTTGATGAAACTGTCCAGAAGTTTTAAATGTGATGAAAGATTGAAAGATATTTGGGGCAGTGAGGTCTGCCTGTCATTATCACATTGATGATATGCCAAAAAGTTTTTCAAGTGTCACCCACACGCTCCCAAAGGCAGACAATTAGCAGCCAAATAAATTCATCCCTTATGCTGACGTGAATCCTCAGCAGATTGGATGACTGATGCTTTAAATGACATCTCAGGCTCCTGGAAGAATCAATATCGCAAATGAATCTTAAATCATGCAGGCTTACATGAATTTAAATAACTTTTTTCTGCAGAAGCGTGACGCTCAAGTGCCAGTTCATGCCTGTAATCAATTTACAGAGACCTTGTGGTACACGTGTCAGGCGCACAGATTGGTTTATATACAATGTCATTTATGGATGATTGAGTCAAGTTATCTCTGAAATGAATACATTTCTTTTTTTTTTCTCACATGGTTTGAAATATCACATGACAAATCAACAAGTGGCAGTGTTCTCCCCAAAAAACACAATGTGTGCAAGTTAAATTGACGAACTTCACCTTGTTGTCGGGCTTCAAGTCTGTCTAGCTCTTTTTTCCCCCTCCTGTCCTCTTAGCTTGTCACTGCGCAGACAGACAGTATCCACTCGTGAGCTCAGGACATTGTCATTGGTGGAGAGGAGTGGTCACATGCCACAGTGATATGTGGGAACAGAGGGCGTGTCCGCCGGACAGGCCAGCTGGCTGGGCCGGGCAGCAGTTGTTTAGTTTTGTTAACGCTGGTCGCAGCCTCATCACGGCTGTCATTTTTGTTTAATAGCTAGAGGACGGTTTACACTAAGAAAGGAGGGGCGGAAGGAGGACATGCACGCTATCTCACTGATCTTAGATACCTACACGCAAGGATTGCACACACCGAGGACGATATGAGGAGGGACGAAGAGAGAGCTGGGCTGTTATTAATAGGAAGTGCTTTACAAAGAAATATAAAGAGAGACAAAATATAACGTGCGAGAGAGAGACTAGATGAAAATGCGGGATGCTGTTGCCATCTTCTGTAGTCTGGCTCTATCAGCCCATCTCCCTGCAGTGGTGTAGTCAGCGCTAATCAAATTTGATGGGCAAGAGATGAATGGAAGCCCTAGTCCAGGAGTCTGATCGATTTTAGGGCCAGATACCACTCTGCATCCTGCGCCAACAGGATATTTGCTGCTATGGCAAAAAAGAAAAAGATCAGGAGGGGAAACACACACACACACACACACACACACACACTATACACACTATACACGCTACAGGTGGCAAAAGAGAAACATTTACACTATTAGCTTCAGAGGTGCTTTGTTAATGCCGGCTCCACCCTCCCCACTCTCTCCCGCTGTCACCACCTTGCCCTCTGTCTCCGTAATCTTTTCTCCATCAATCCAATTTCCGTTTAAAACGAGGACTAGTGTGAATTTAATCTACTTCAGTGGGAGGAGGTGGGGGCGGTCGGTTGGTTTAACAGAATGGAGTTTGTTTGTAAGGGTCGTTTGTGAGAGAGAGAGAGACCTGCAACACGTATTGGGTGTTTTTTATTTATTTATTGAGGCTGCCACTGATCACAGCGTGAGCATAAAAAGGCATCCTGTGCAACGCATACCAGCTTTTCGCTTCGGAGCCGAGCGACAACATCGTTCT